TAGAAAATCAGGACTTTGTAAAAGAGCTGGGTATTTGTAAATTAAATCCTCGGAGACATAAAGATTTAAGGTATCCATGCAATCTTTCAAATTCAAAATGCGCTTCTACTGGTCACATGGAGGTCATTTAGTCTCTCCTGATCCCATTGACTTTTCCCATAGCAAATGCCATTACTGTCCACAGTGTTTGTCTACAGTGTTGTTTGTTGGGGGTTTTTTTGGGTGTTTTTTTTTATTTAACTGCAATGCCTTTCTTGACTTACATTTGGTTAAACTGATGTATTATCAGACGAGATATTTTTCAATCAACAGAATGTGTCTTTATTTTAAGCACTACTCTGTTACTTGTTTCATTGGGGAGAATTTGGGTAAAGAAAGGACATGTCTAATTCATGATGTCTTCTTAAATAATTCATCTATTCTAATAAAATCTGTATGGAATCTTTGTGAATCGTATTCTGCTGCTTCATTTAGATGCATATGTGTAAATGAGAGAGAATGTGTGGCTCTAATTGAGTGAACAATCTTTTTGACTTATAAAACATACAAAATCTAATTTAGTTTAAAAATGAGTGTGCTTAGAAGACTTGCAGCTCTTTTCTGGTTTTCACCTTCATTGTGGTCATGTGCTCAAGTACATCTGCAAGTCAAAGAGTGGATGATGTTAGCAATAAAAACAAAGCATTTTTTTTTATATTCAGTCATCTCGCAGTGTACTAGATCAGTATTTTACTGCAACTTGTGTACAATGACAATGGAACGTAAACGTTCACAATACACAGTTTTATTTAGCTAATGAGAACCATCAAAAAGCAGTCTTAAAAATGCTTTGTACACCACATTTCTTTTGGGAGTATTGAAGTAGGAAATTCATACAAATTTGGAGTGAATTAATTGCAATGACTACATCAGATAAATGCCACATTGAATTTCAAGTATGTTGTATTCTGAGACAGAAGTCTCTGTAAACTGCATTTGATGGGCAGGCATGCTTGGATTAAGGAATGACTACAGGGTAGGAAATGGCATGATGTTGTGTCTTCCTGAAATATCACTGAGGCTGACAGGAAAGCTAACCATCCTTCTGCAGTCCCTGAAATAACAAGCATTACCTACCATCCAGAACACAGGTATCATGCAGGACTCTAAGGAATGCAAATTCTTGATCTCAGGTGTTCTCATCAGACCTGGGCAAAAGAAAAGCAGAACAGTAAAAGAGAGACAACAGCTCCAAGAGACTTCTGCTGTCTTAAGTGAGATCTTAAGAAAGAGGAAAGGTATAAGATATTTGAAAATGTAGATAAAGAAACTACTTGCTCAATGGAAACCACAGGCAACATACTGAGGTCAAAAGATAACTATATAATTATGTACCTTTCTGCATCTTTTTTTATTTTTTCAATTTTTCATTTCAGACACTAATATCTGGAGCAGTTGTTGAACAACTTGACTTCCTAAGAATCTCTGAAACAGAAGAGTAAGGCTATGTGTAAATAATAATGATATGTTTCATAATCAAGGTATTTTCTGTACTATGAAGAAATTATATACTATGTTTTTTGGGGTTTTTTTTAAGGGCTCCTGTATTTAAGAGGTTGGAGGAGCTGGATCTTCCAAAACATTCTAAAGTCAAGAGACAGTCTAGTACTCCAAATGCTTCTGAACTTGAGCAGCAACCAGATGTAAATATTAATGACTGGAAAAACAAGTCAACATACGAGATCCTGCAGAAACTTAATGTAAGTAAACTTGATAAAAATACAGTATAACTTCATTCTCAAATGACAAATAATGTGCTGTTATTTTTAACAGCAGCCTTCTTTAATCAACATGATTTGTGTCATGGTTCAATGTTTAGTATAACTAGGAACATAAAAGGTCTGGTTTTCCTCTTCATACTTGGGGAATCTTCCTCTTTACATTTTCCTTTTTACTTCTGCCACTTCATGCTATAACTCTTGGCTTCCATTCTCCCATCTACCCAAATCTTCTGGTAATAAATGACCATCTAAATGGGGATCCATTTGACATATCACTAGATATTTTACTGCTAGACTAAAATTCGAAAGACTTCAGCAGTTGATACTCGCTTGGTAGACTGTTGACTTCTATGATAGAGGGGAAAGTTCCAATCTGGCGCCTTTTTTTTGTATCTAGAAGAAAGCTACAACGAAGTGTTTGTAGATCCAACATTTGATAGGAACACACAAAATATTCTCTTTGGTTCCCTATGTCATTACAAGCATTTTTGCTGTAAATGACCAAGACCCAAGAACAGAAAATCAGGAAACATTTCTGTGGCCAAATAAATACAACTTAGTTTGATCCACTGAGAAGCAGCGTCTGCAAGCAGCAGTGACAAAGATACAGCATAGATAGGGTATGAATTAGTCGTGAAGTCCCCTTGGAAACAAAACCTGTAGATTTTTTTTTTTTTTTAGTGAAACAAGAAAGGCCCTGTGAAAACCTGAAGGCTATTTGTGGTTACGTTGTTGCTGAATTGTTTTTTTTTTCAAGGACTGCAATTGCCTAGCAAGTCAAGCATTACTCTCCAGTATATTGCTTAAAAGGGAAGGACCGAATTTTATCACCAAGGACGGTAAGAGCTTCTTTCATTTGACTATTCTGAGTTTTTCAGGAAGCAGCTGTATGTTTAGTTGTAATGAACATGAATAATGGCCATTGTGCCATCAGCTACACTAATAAATAGCTACACTACAGCAGTTGTGTAGCTATTTTCTCTGCCATTTAAAGCAATTTCTGCATTAAATGGGACATGCAAATTCATAGTGTAGTGGGGAGTGAGCTGTTAAATATATGAATTCTTCTAGGCTGTTTGTAGGCCGGTTCTGTAGCTCGATGTAATTTTGAATGCACAGATATAAAAAATAGGGAGCTTGACCTTGTATAGAAAACTGAAACTGAAGACAAGTTTGTGTGTCTGTAACAAGCTAAAATGTGTGAAGCTTTATACTGAATTTTTATTTTTCTTTTATGTAGTCAATTCAATGTATCTGTGAAGCTTACTCTTGTGTTACACCTTTGTATTAAGAGCACAGGAATTAAATTCACATAGAAGAATTCAGATGAAGCTTGTGGCTTTTGTAGTGTAAAGCTTGGTGTTGGGCTTTTTTTCCTCGAAGACTGCTTATTAGCTACTTTTGTATATATTTCCTCAGAAAAAAGAGGAATGTTAAGATCAAATAATATTATCTTAGTCATCATGCAGTGTAACTTATCATCTCATGTTATAGAACTCTGCTTCATAATTTTGAGAGAAGGCAGCTGGTTCTTGTGATGAAGAGTTGTCATTTTGACATAAATATACATTATATACATATTGTTGTATGTCATGGGTTCAG